CAGTACTGGGATTTGAACTCAGGGTCTACACCTTGAACCATTCCACCAGCCCTTTTTTGTGATGGTTTTTTTAAGATAGGGTCTCGAAAACTATTTGCCAGGACTGGTTTTGAACCTTGATTGTCCTGATCTCTGTCTCCCGTGTAGCTAGGATTACAGACGTGAGTCACCAGAGCCAACATCTTTCAATGCTTTAAATATTTCACTTTACTCTTCTTCCTGCAGTTTCTGAAGAAAAATTTGGTGCAATTCTAATCCTCTTTCCTCTATTGGAAAGTATTTTTCCCTTTGGCTTCTTTCAAGATTTTCCCTTTGTCTTTAATTTCTACATCTTGATTAAGATAGAATAAAGGCAAAGGAGAATGATGGATTCAGGTATGATATATTTGATATATTGCAAGAACTTTTGTAAATGCCACAACGTACCTCCAGCACAACAATGAATAAAAGAAAAAATACTAAAAGAAAATGTAATTTTCATTTTGGAAAAAAAAAAAAAGATAAAGATATCATCACGTGTAGGTTTTGGTATTTGTTCCCTGGGCTTCCTGGACCCATGGTTTAGTTTCTGTCATTAATTATGCAAAATTGTCAGTCATTACTTCCAATACTTCTTGCTTCTTTGTCTATTCTCCTTGTGGTATTCCCATTATGCATGTGGTTTACCTTTTGTGTGTATCGCAGTTTTTGTTTTTTTGTCTTTTGGCAATACTGGGATTTGAACTCAGGAACTCATGCTTACTAGGCAGGTGATTTGTTACTGGAACCGTGCCCCAGCCCGTATCCCACATAGCTCTTATCCCATGGTTCTCAAATATTCTGTCCCATATTTTTAATTTTTTTCCTTCTGCATTTCAGTTTTGGAAATTTCTATTGACATTTCTTCAAGCTCGCCGATTCTTTGTTTCTGCTATTCTTTCCTAGAGTTTTCATCTCTGTCCTTATATGACCCATCTATCTGTTCTTGCATATTATCCATTTTTTCCATTATAGCTCTTAGCGTGCTAGTCATAGTTGCTTTAAATTAAAATATCTCTGAGTCTTGTTCTGATGCTTGCTCTGTCTGTTGAAAGTCTGTTTTTCTTTCCATGTCTTTTTTGTTGAAAGGACTAAGGTACGTGGGCCTCTGTGTGGGGTTTTGTTTTCTGGCTGGAAGTTAGGCTGTGCTAACTGCTTGCTATGGTAGATGTCAGAAGACAAATTTTATTCTTTTGTCCTTGTTTTTGTCTATAGGTGTCCCTGGACCCTTCTTTTGTCTGATGAGCTGTGAGGTTCTTTCAGCTGTGTTTCCGTTATTATGAAGGAGCATTGCTGATGTGGTATTGACACGTGGAGGGAAGGCAGCATTCGGTAGTCCCATGATTAAGTCTCAATCTTTTTATTTTTTATTTTGTTGTATTTCTTCGTTTATTGTGGCACCTCACCATGCTAGGCAAGGGCTCTACTCTCCCTTCCTCCCCAGTGCCACCAAAAAACCAAAAAAAAACGAAAAACAAAAAAACAAATCCTCCCTTCCTTCCTCCTTCCTTTCTTCCTTCTCTCTTGCTTTTTCAAAATGTGAGGGTGGTCCTCGCTTTATTGCCCAGGCTTGTCTTGAATTTATGGGCTGTTGTACAGGTGTAAAAAGAATCTTGTACCTCCAATCTGGGTAGTGTTGAGCCCCCCAAATGCCTCATACAAATCTGGTCTAATGACTTTATTGTGGCTCTTTCTTTCTTTCTTTCCTTTTTTCTTTTTTGTACTGGGGTTTGAACTCAGGGCCTCCCACTTGCTAGGCAGGCTCTCTACCACTTTAGCCACTCTGCCAGCCCGAGTAAATGAGCTTAATAGGGAATACTTACAGAACAGTGGGTGACTGCATAGGGCTGCATTCATCCAAAGTCTCCCAAGTCAGGGAAACAGCCACCACCTTGCCTACCAAGCTCCTATTTTATATGGTGTTAAGTCTATAGCAGAAACCCGGACTTAGAGCACCACCTAGCGTCAAAACAAGCAGAAGTAAACTACAGGCCCAAATAACATAACCCAGACAAAAGTAGACTGTGCACTCCCTCTCTCCTTTTCTGGGATTCTGCTTGTCTTAGCAAACACTGTTCAACCGTGGGAAGGATGGCCCATTGTATTGCTGTCTGTCACACAGACCAACTAAATATCAGCTTGCTGCAAAAAGGAATTACCCCAACTAGGATTTGGAAGACTAGTTTTACTACATTGGCTCA